GACTTCACAATCTCTGAAGAAATTCAAGAGTTAACAGTAAGTTTTCCTCCCAACATTTCTAATCTTTAAAACCAGCCCCATTAATAACTGTTTACAAACTTTGACTTCAGCATGCGGAGTTTCAAAAGCAGAATGATTGTTGATTACATAGCCTGTAAATAAATACTCCCTACAGCTGTGATGTAGAAATAAACAAACAAGAAAAAGACAGAAAATGCTTTTAGACTGTAAATTGAAACCATTATGTTGCAGCTTTTGAAATCATGGCTTTATGTGTTGATTGATCTATAGCACAGTTTTGAACTCACAGAATTATAGGAGAGATTGTGAAGAACTTCCTTGAAGATGTGAATTGTACTCCATAATCCAGCTGTTCCCAGTGTGTTAGTAGCCTAGCTTTGCCCTGATCAGGTGTTTCAAAAGGAGTTCCCTTTACTGCATGCAAAAACACATACATTCCCTGAGGAAAATAAAAAGTGAATACAAAGGCACTTTTAGTAATATTTTAAAATAATTGCTACATTGTTCAATGCATTATAAAATTAAAAATAATTTTAAAAAAAAGAGAGCGAGTAAATTCTCAACCAGAAGAGCTGCTAGCCTGTAATAACAAATTATCGAAGAGGAAGGAAGAGACAAGAAGTGGTTTGCCTGAGACGGTGCAGAGTCAGAATTAAAGCCCAAGTCTGTGTGACATCCAATCCACTCCCTTGCCTTCTACACCAGTAGGCAAAAGTTCCTTGAATTCAGTAGAATTTTAACAAGCACTGTAGCAAGTGCTGATTTGTATCACCACTTTCCTAGCACAGTGTTAACAGAGTGATGAGTAGTAGAGTGTGCATAAAGCAAAAATCTACCTACAAACACTGACAATATCACACCAATTCCTGAAATCTTTCTCAGCCCCTTACCAGCTTCAAATCCTTAGGAACTGACTAAGCATTCTGCTGAATACCATCTGTCCACCTTTTTGCTGCTTCTCTTTAAACATGCTGGACTTTCCTTGTGACTGTTCCTGTTTGATGGGAACATACCATGTATGGTTTGTTCTGAAAGCCCAGTTTGGGCCTCTTGCTTTCAAACAGGGGAGTACACCCTCTTCCAGTTTTAAAAAACACTTGTTTTCTATTTAAGAGACCACACCATCTCCACGGAAGAGTCTGCATGAGACAGTATCAAAGATTTCTTTCTCTTTCTTATGCACATACAAAAAAATTTATAGAAAGCTTTATCTAGAAAAAAAAATCACATTAATTCCATATTCTTATAATAGAGGTGAAATCTCAGCCAATCACTTCATGTCTCCTTCCACCTTTTTTTGGAACAGCCTCCAGACCAGAGCCCTGTGAACCTAGGACAATTGATTTGTTTAATTAATTTTTTGATTCGTGATGTCTGCAGTGTCTATTTTAATAACCATAAATACACTTTTAGGACAGATCCAAATGCTTACTTCACATTTTATTTCCCAGTGGTACTTGCAGAAAGAACCATCAAAAGTACTTTCAAGGTTAGCTAAGAGTTTTCCATTAGTAGAAATCCAAGATTTTTTTTTTTTGTCAAACCATTTGAGGATTTGTTTCCAAAAGAAGTGCCATTTAAATTCTGAAATATCCACCAGTGCAATTTACACTCATCTTCTAGTGTTCCACTACAAAACTACTTGCCAGTGCATGTTCTCATCCCTGTTGTCATTACAGCTACTTGCAATGAGTTCAGTAAGGCATGTGGGAAATATTTAGTAATACTTGTCTCTGCCAACATCTTCTGAAGTCAGACATGTCTGATGCTGTCAAAGATAACACACAAAAGGCTCTAATGACAATTCCACCAGTAGTCTTAAACCTATCTACAAAACCAAAAAGCTCAAATAAGAATTAAAACTTTACATTCAAGAGGATATTACCCATCCTCAGTGAACTATCATTTTCCTAAACAAGGAAGGAGCTATCTTTTTGTCAAGTCTTCTTTGCTGGTAAAAGGTGAGCTAGCAAACCTCAAGTATGATCTAAATTGCTGGGTTATGGCTCTCTAAGCGTGGCAGGACCAATACAGATAGCTGCACTACTTTAAGTGGTTACAGGAAAATGCTGGCATCCTGCAGAGAGGAGCAGAAAGCAGCTCAGAAAATCTTTTGCATACAAAATTCATCATGGAAGTCACAACCCTCTGAATAACAAACGGTTTCAGAGCTGTGGTCAAAGTAGTTCCGTTTTTCCCGCTGCTTTCAATCAAGATTTCTCTAATGTTCTGTATGGTGACAACATTGTATGCTGAAGTCATTCTGAGTTACGTAGCTTGGCCAGAAATCAAAACTAGAAGAAATACAATGCATTTATTTCTCTTAAATAAAATAGGTAGGCTGCTAAAATTAAACATTTTGGGATACTAACAGATTTATGTGGAAAAATTAGTAGATATGTCCAATAACTAAAAATGTGATGGTTTATGGATTCAGCACAGCTCTCTAACAATATACAGAACACTGTGAAAGTTGGCTGACATGATGATTTTATGTCTGCAACCTTCCAGCCTAATTAAATGCCACTTAAAAGAATACGTGACTACATAAAGAATATTTCATGTCTTTCATGCTTAAATTGAAAGTGGTCATGTATCACTGCTCCTCCCCAAAACAGCCAATCTTTTGTGGATAGGCCAAGGAGAGGTGGTGTTTTGGATAGCAGGATTTCGTTGTCCATACAGACTGGCTACTTTCCTCTTCCTTTGCTACTGAAAATAAATATTTATGAACAACCACTATTCAAATTCTGTTCCAAGAGAGGGTACTTACCAGGTTGTGAATGACATTTGTTAAAGTCCAGGCGACAGGGACACTAAAGAAGGGAATGCTGAGCAGGACAATGTGCAGCATGCCGACTCCCAGCGCATATGTCAGCCACATTCCACGGCTGTTCATCACTCGAGTGTTTGGATTTACCTCGCTGTGGGCAACTCCTACGTTCATTTTTACCCTATAAAACAGATCTGTTTGAAGACTGAGATACTGTTACAGAGGAGTACTTGACATACGCAATTTTCAAATATGGGAAAAAGCTGCTTTAAAGAAGCAGGTCTGGAGAGAACACAGTACATAAAGCAGGATGTACCTCAAGATCTTCAAGCTATGGTTTATAGAGAAATCAGTACAAAGGAACAGTTGGGAACTGCTTGTTTAAAACAAGTCCAAACAAATAAAACTCACAAGCTTGCTACAGAAAGGACATTAAAAAAAAAATTAGTAAACTGTGATGTCAGAAGCTACAGTTGGAAAGCTGTAAGAAACCAAGCTAATAACTTTTATAATCTGAATTAAGTTTCTCCATCCACGACAATATCCAGAGCTCTTTTCCACTTCCCACATCAGACAATCTTCCTCCTCTTTCTTGTTCATGTAATGGTTAGTGAAGAACTCTGCATATACCAACTGCCCAGCCACCTACTTCTAGAAAGAATAATGAAGGAGTAATCTAGGCCTCTTTTTCTTGAAGCAAAGTGCAGATTTCCTCCCCTCCCCATCTATTAGTTTCCAGATAGACATTTCCATCTCCTAAATCCGGCTGAAATTGGAGAACATGTTTAAAAGTTTTCGAAGCAACAGACACATGCAGAGATACACAGTATTATTTAATATGCTGATATATCCAGGAAATTGACAGAACTTGACAGTGCCACTCTCTTCCTATTGCAGTAAAATTTGTAATGATAATTTTGAAAAAAATCTCAACTATTGCTTATTGAAAATTCACACGATCTCTGTGACTATGGATATTCATTAATGGGAGCGGGATGAAGTGTTTTTTTTAGCAACCATCTGAATCAGAATACAAAAGCACTGCTTAACCAGCAAAAGCAAGCTTGCTTTCGGGAGGAAGTTTGTTTCTGACACTTAGTGATGCACCGAGTATAAGATAAATAAAATTTTCTGCATTATGAACAGCAGTAGACTAAAAATAGGTACTCTGAACCCGAACCGGGGCACTGCCAACCTTACCCAGTACCTGTCGCAAAGCATTCCAAGCCGTGCAGGAGACACATTACCTGGGATGGGCGACGCGAGGCTGTTCCTCTCTCCCCGGGATGCAGCACCCGCGGAGCCAGTACCTAGACAGACATCTCGCCGTGACCCACCATCCCCTCCCATCCCACGCCACGATTCCAGCCCCATCGGGGGGCAGCCCGCGGCACCGCCGCGTTTCCTCTGCCATCCCTCCCCTGCCGGCCGCCCTCCGCTGCCGCCGCCCGGCCCGGCCGTGCCCGCGGCCTTCTCCCCGGCCCCGGCCGCCCGTCCCTCCGCCCCCCGCCGCGGCCCCACCTTTCCGCAGCCCCGCGGCCGCCGAGGAGCCGGAGCGGAGCGCCGGCCGCAGGTAGAGCCCGCGGTGCCCGTGGGCAGGGCCGGTCGGGAACGAGCGGAGGGGCCGGGCCGGGCTGCCCGCGCCGCCCACGGGCGCGGGGCGGGCGCGCAGGTAGCGCAGCCGCGGGGCGGGAGCGGCAGGGGAGCGCCGCC